GCATTAAGGAGACTGACAGAGGAAAAGACTCTGGAGAAGTATTTTAAATACTGTTTAAATAGTGTCTCTCATGTCCACCCGGGGTCACAGTGAAGCCACTGGCTTCTCTTGCTTCCTGGTTGGAAGCAGGGGTATGGCTCTCTGTACACCAGGGCCACTGGTCCCTGACCTGTGTTCCGCTCCCAGGAGAGATGTCTCTGGAATGGCCATCTGGTAGAAAAAGGAACTCGGGAGAATTCTCTCAAACAGTGGAATTTATAAAGACTATTGGGAATTAGATGAAAAATCCCCTCTTATTAGATGCCCTGGGAGCCAGAAACACAGCTGCCAGTGTGGCTTCTGTGTCTCCTGGAAATACAGGGGTGCCTGACACCCAGCAAAGCACTTTGGAGTTGAACCTTGGTTTTTTTTTTGTGGTGAGCAGGCCTCTCACTGTTGCGGCCTCTCCAGTTGCAGAGCACAGGCTCCGGACGCGCAGGCTTAGCGGCCATGGCTCACGGGCCCAGCCGCTCCACGGCATGTGGGATCTTCCCGGACCGGGGCACGAACCCATGTCCCCTGTATCGGCAGGCGGACTCTCAACCACTGCGCCACCAGGGAAGCCCCCTTGTTTTTTTTTTTTTTTTAATTGCAGTATAATTGATTTACAATATTGTGTTAGTTTTAGGGGTAAAGTGATTCAGATACACACACACACACACACACATATCTTTTCCATTATAGGTTATTACAAAATATTGAATATAGTTCCCTGTGCTATGCAGTAGGCCTTTGTTTATCTATTTTATATGTAGTAGTGTATATCTGTTAATCACATACTCCTAATTTATCCCTTGCCCCCTTTCCCCTTTGGTAACCAGAACTTTGTTTTCTATGTCTTTGAGTCTGTTTCTGTTTTGTAGATAAGTTCATTTGTATCATGTTTTCTAGATTCCACATGGTATTTGTCTTTCTCTGTCTGGCTTACTTCACTTAGTATGAGAATCTCTAGGTCCACCCATGTTGCTGAGACTGACATTATTTCATTCTTTTTATGACTAATATTCCACTGTATGTATATATATGTGTGTGTGTATATATATATATATATATATATATGTACCACGTCTTCTTTATCCATTCATCTGTCGATGGACGTTTAGGTTGTTTCCATGTCTTGGCTATTGTAAATAGTGCTGCTGTGAACATAGGGATGCGTGTATCTTTTCGAATTAGAGTTTTCATCTTGTCTGGATATATGCCCAGTAGTGGGATTTCTGGGTCATATGGTAGTTCTATTTTTAGTTTTTTAAGAAACCTCCTGACTATTCCCCATAGTGGCTGTACCAGTTTACATTCCCACCAACAGTGCAAGAGGGTTCGCTTTTCTCCACACCCTCTCTAGCATTTATTGTTTGTAGGTCTTTTGATGATGGCCATTCTGACTGGTGTGAGGTCATACCTCATTGTAGTTTTGATTTGCATTTCTCTAATAATTAGTGACGCTGAGCATCTTTTCATGTGCCTGTTGGCCACCTGTATGTCTTCTTTGCAGAAATGTCTATTTAAGTCTTCTGCAGATTTTTGGATTGGGCTGTGAGCCTTGGCTTTGAGCGAGAGATTGGATAGCAAGTCAGGAAGTGTCCTACGCAGAGGGCAGGAGACTCTGCGCCATGTCAGCCCTGGGGGACACGGGCTTGGCTCTGTCCCTGTGCCTGTCTGACTCCAAAGGAAGCCCCCTCCCTCATCTCGGGGATGAGCCTTGGGTCTCTGTCTGGACCGAGCCAACAGTGTCACCTGTGGCAAAGCCAGCAGAAGGTGGGCAGCTTGGGAGCCCTTTGAAATTACAGCCTCCCTTGCTCTGCCTGGCGAACTCCGGTCCTGCTCTGAGACTGTCCATGTGCCATCACTGTGTCACTGTATTGTCCTCACATCCTGCCACTCCTTGGAGGACAGGGGTGGAGCCAGGCCACCGCCTATCCTTAGGTCCGCACCCATCTGTGCCGCACAGCAGGAGCTCTAGGGACCCCCATCCACGTGGGTCCTGGCCAGAGACCCCTCGGTCCCCAGACAAGCTGGCACCAGCAGGGGTCCAAGGTGTGCCCGGAACCTTCCACCTGACCTTTCCCCTGCACCTTTCAATCCTTGGTCCTTTGCATATGAATGTTTACATACGTTACATGTCATTTAAATTCTACTCTTTATATTATCTTAGTTTTTCATTTATTTTTTCATAGCATCCATGAACAAACACCACCCCTGGTCTGCTCTCACCCCAAACCCTGTAGCTTTTACAAAGGGGCCAAAAAGACACAACCACCAACCCCGAGAGAGCCTGGATTAGGGATGAAGAGCTGGGGTGGTGAGTAAGTGTGCTCTCAAGAGTCTGCCGGGGCTGAGGGCGGTGAGGCTGCTGTGAGGAGGGTCCCCGAGGACTCCGGGAGAGCACACCAGTCACGTGACGATGTCCTGGGGGAGGCACAGGGGGTGGGGGGAAATCTGCAATTTATTGGACACCCTCATATGGCAGAAAAAGCGTCCCCTTTGGTGTTCCTGTAGTCCTGAGTCTGAATCCGCCTTCGCGCTACTAGCTTGGGCAAGTCTTACGACCTTCGTGGAATTTCTATTTTCTCATTCAGAAGGCAAGCTGCTGGCACCTACCTTGCGGGGCTGTTGTGTGGATTAGAGATCGTGACCCCTGTCGTGGCTTGGGGTCTGAATATGTCACGTCTCTAGTTTTCCTGATTAGTCATTTATGTTCTCACCAGTCCTTGTCTTCAGCATCCCTCCCACATCCCAGAAAACAACAAGAGCTCTGGGGCTCCCTCAGCCTCAAAAGCTCAGCCCTGTTTCCGAAGGCCAGGTGGGGGGTGTGCACGGCTGTGGTTGCTGCCACCAGTGTCCCCGCTGGGGACCTGCAGTCTGGCGGCGGTGTGTCCCCGCTGGGAACCTGCAGTCTGGCGGCCGTGTGTCCCCGCTGGGGACCTGCAGTCTGGCGGCCGTGTGTCCCCGCTGGGGACCTGCAGTCTGGCGGCGGCGTGTCCCCGCTGGGGACCTGCAGTCTGGCGGCGGCGTGTCCCCGCTGGGGACCTGCAGTCTGGCGGCCGTGTGTCCCCGCTGGGAACCTGCAGTCTGGTGGCGGTGTGTCCCTCGCTGGGGTGGTGCCCAGGCTGCTGCGGACGCCACAGGTGCAGGGCGGCCTTGACCTTGGGCTCGCATCACTGCTCAGTGAGGTCACGGGCCTGGCTCTCGATCCTGAGGCATTTCCACTGCGTCCGGGCGCTGGGCCCCGGGTGTCCGGTCACGGCCACTCGCTGCCCGGGCACAGAGCTCCTCCCCGCCTCCTTCCCTAAACCGGCACTGCTGGAGGCTTCCTTGCACAGAGTGGATCCTCTGGCCTTGAGTGGGGACCGAAGGCAAGAACTCGAGGGAAAGTCCCACGAGGGCTGGGGGACAAGGTGAGGCAGGCGATGCCACCGGACGGAACGGGGGAGGCCGGGTGTCCGTGCCCCCAGCTCTCAGGGGTGAGGTGTGAGTGTGGCCAGGCTGCGGGCAGAGTCCCACGGTCTCTGTGGAGGCTGAGCCCCGAGGGGCAGGGGCCCATCCTGTTTGCTCCGTACTCCCTTTTCGGGGCTCTGGAAGGGGTTCCACTGACTGGTTCCTGTAAACGGAAGATTTCCTAGTGTGACCACAGTGGGCTGAATGGTGGCTCCCGAAACTGACATCGCCATCCCAACTCCCGGAACCTGAGAATGCGACCTTATTGGGAACAGCGGCTTTGCTCAGGTAACAGGAGCGGACTGTCCTGGACAGGCCAGCTGGGCCCTAAATCCGGTGACAAGCGTCCTTGTGAGAGAAAGGCAGAGGGAGGAGACGACACAGAGAAGACGACAGACAGACGAGGAGACGACACCGACTCTCCACGACACTCCACACGTGTGGAGGTAGGTGGAGGCTGGAGGGATGCGGCCACAAGCCTCGGACCACTGGAGCCCCCAGGACCTGGAAGAGGCCAAGGCCAGTTTCTCCCAGAGCTTCTGGAAGGAGTGTGGCCCTGCACACACCTTGATTTTGGACTTCCGGCCCCTGTGAGAGAGCACATTTCTGCTGCTCGAAGCAGCCCAGGCTGTAGTAACCTGTTCAAGCAGCCGCAGGGCCCATCGAGGTCAGGCTGCGGGCGGCGCCCGATCCCAAGACACAGCGCACTCGGTTTCTGCCAAGATGGTGAGTTAACGTGAGGCGCTGGCTCCGTTCAGAAACTATTGAGTAAGAGAACAAACAATCCTAGGCTTTGAGAAGGGCCCTCGGGGAGGCCGAGAGCCGCTTGGGATGGAAGGTTTGGGGCACTGGTGGCAGCAGCTGGGGTGGAGGGGGACTGGGGTGAAGATAAAGGGACAGACATCGTCTGGTCCTTCCGCGCTGCTCGGCACTGCCTGGGGACGATCCTTGCCAACCCTTCGAGGCCAAGGCCAAGGCAGTCCTGCACCTGTGGGGTCCGCAGCCTGGACCAGGGGTCAGCACAGGTTTTCCATAAAGAACCAGACAGGAAATATTCGGGTTTGTAGCACAAAAGCAACCACAGACACAAGGAAGCATGTGGACCTGGCCAGACTTGCTGACCCGGCCTGGACCGCTGGAGTCGGCGGCCTCGGGAGGGAGCAAGGGCGGAGGAGCTTCGGAGAAGAGAGAAGGGCTGCCCTGCCTGGACATTGTCGCTCCAAACCCACAGGACTGTGGGCCCCAGGCTGGGGAGCTGTCTCCTCTCAAGGTTCCCAGGGGCTCAAAGGAGAAGGCAAAGGGGGCCGGCAGTGGGGTTCATGGTGACCATCCTGACGCCCTGGGCTGCCCAGGCACGGCGGACAGAGCAGCCAGTACTCCCAGGGGACATGAGTCCTCAAGTCACAACGATGGTCTCAAGAGAGCAATAACACACTGGACCACTCGTAACACTGGCAACAAAAGCACAGCATCCATGCAACACCACAGGGTTGTAAGATAAGCACGACGAGGTGACAGGGGTGACAGGGGGTACGAGGCATGTGAAGCCAGGTCTGACATCCTGGAAATAACCGAGCGGACATTTGGCATAAAAATATACCCCAAATAAGGGACACAGCCGCTGATGGGACGGAAGGGTTGGGGCATACGCAGAAGTCAGAGTCGCCAGCTTTTCCCGACAGAATGTGAGGTTAAAGAGAGGGTAAAGCCTTGGCCGGAGCCCCTGGGAGCACGGAGTTGACCTGAGTGGATGCAGCAGGGTTTGGGGGTAAGATGGGAGTTCAGTAGGATGGGCTGACTTTGAGATGCCAGAGGAAGAGGCAGCTGGTCTGTGGTGGGGACCTCGGGGGGTCTGGACTGCAATCCAGCCACAGGTGCCTAAAGCCGTGGGACCTGATGGGGATGGAAAGGAGATTCGACATCAAGGGGCCGAGAGGGGCTGAGGAACCAGCGCAGGAGCTGGGAGAATTCACATCCTCGGCACCGCGGCCGCTGCCCACAAGATGGGTGCAGGTGCCTGGGCCATGCACACCGTCCGGGGCCTCTGCAGTGCTGCCGAGAGAATGAAAGAGTGAGTGTAGCCCTGACCCTAATCGGAGACCCCAGCGAGAGGCCTTCTGAAGGAGGGACAAATGTGCTTCCAGGTTGGAAGCTCTCTGAACTCAAGTTAGCAACGGAGCTAAGTGGCCACTAAGGTTCTGGGGCACAAGGCCTCACGTGCCTGTTGCATCACACCCAGGGCTGTGCTGCAGGCCAGCCGGGACTGCTTCTTCCTTGACGCTAGGAACTCACACTGACTTTAGTTTACTCTGTGAATAAGGAGGGGTGTACGGAAACAAGGATTGATCCTCTTTGGCTTACTGGAATCCTTTAATCATTTTCAGCGTTGAATTAGGAGCTGACTATTTCAAGCAGCTTTCATTCTGAGAGGGAGTTTCGGAGCCATCTTTTCTGCAAATCCCAGCACAACCTGAAGCCTAGTCATTCAGATCAACTCAGATGCTGATTCTGAAAAGCGCACTGGAGCTGCCATGGGCCAGCCCGTCGATGACACGGTCTCTGTGGTGACCGTGATGCTATAGGCTCAGTGGAAACGCGAATGGAGCTCGTGATGCAGAGTCTGTAAACCATAGGTGGGGCTGTGTCCACAGTCAGTCTTCGTATCAAAGCCTCTTGGGCATCATTTATTCACCTCTTCTTTCAGTTACCACAGAACACAGACACCAAACCACTTGAGAGAGCAAACTTAAAGCTGACCCAGCCCCTCTGGAACGTATCAGAGGATCACAGGGGAGGCTGCCTCACACTCGGGGCTCTGTTCCCTCCTCTGCAAAATGCGCTGTTCTGAGGACTCAATAAGCCAGTCCCTCTGAAGCACACAGCCGTGCTCAGCGAGGGGAGACAGGGTTACTGTGCTCAAGGCAGCTGTGGAGGGGGTCCCAGCGGGCTCCCCTTCAAGCTGGATGAGCCACACAGACACCCAGACTGTCCGAGGCTGAGCAGGACTTGGAGATCCTCTGCAGACCGACGGCAAGTGGCCTCCTGGATTCCACCGCAGCGAGTGGCAGTGCCAGGCTGGGCCCCGCCCGTCCAGACTCCGCCAGTGCCTCCCGGCAGGCGGTCTGCACCTGCACCCGGGCTTTGAGCAAGTGCTCACTTGCTGCCGCTGGCATGCTCTGTCCTCGACCACGGTGTCCCTTCTCCCAGCCTGTGAAGCACAGGCTGGGAACTTGCAGACTAGGTCTGTTTGTGTGAGGAGATGCGGGGGTCTATCCCTCCCTCTTATTCAGATGGACATGAGCTCAGTGACTTGTCCTGACGTCCAGTAGCACCCACACACCTGCCCTGGCTCCGACAGACACAGTCAGGAGTGTACAGATGGCTGGTGCGGTCACTGAGTCACCCCTTTTCCATTCTGGTCATGAAAGCAGCATAAGAAAGCCAGCAGTGAAAGGGGTAGAAGATCACTGAACAAGAGCTTCTTTGTGTCCTTCAGAAAGCTTAAACCCTAAAGGAAAGACGCGTCAGCTTAGATGTTTCTCACGGATCAGATCAGGTGGGCAGGGGCGGCCTTGGAGGTCATCAAAGAACGTGGGTGAAGAGCTGACGGGCCTCATGAGAACCGCTGTCAGCTCACGGATGGGGTTTCTTCTCGTTCCTCCACTGGGCTGCGTGCATTGGAAAACGCGGGGCAGGTGGAGGGACACGGAGGCCGAGGTGGAGGGAAAGGACCGGCGCCACTCCTGCTCTGTCCCGTTCAGACGAACCTCCCGTTTAAGGGCTGGTGGGTCATCACGGGCTTCTGTGAACACACATGGACACGTCAGCACGCACAGGTGGGTACGCACACAGATACACGGGTGAGAGCACACGCACACTCATGCAGGTGTGGGCACAGAAATACACGGGCGAGCACAGAGGAACATGTAAACACACAGGTGTGCACACACGTAGACATGCACTTAGCTATATGACTGTGCATACATAAAAACACACACAGCACGTACACAGACACACACACACGGGAGAGCACACAGATGCGCACGTGGGCTTGCTGGTCAGGAGGCATCAGTCAACCCCCTGCCAGGTTTTTCTTACTCAATCTCTTTCTGCCTGTTTCCCCAGCTATGGGTCAATGACACCGGCCCTCACCGGCTGTAAGGACAGAAAGTATATGACAATCTAAAGCTCTGAAGCACGGAAGGTGCGTTCTAATTTGAAAGCACGTAGACTTTCAAGCCCCCGCTGGTGATTTCTTATCGCCCGCCATCAGCCCCTGGGGATGGCCACGCTCTGGCCACGGTCCAGGCGGCCTCTTCCGGGCTCAGGTGGAGCCTGGCAGGGAGCCTCTGCCCTCTGTCCTTTCCTGTCGTCTGGGGCGGCCTAACGCTGGCTGTCTCGGACACGTGTGCCCCATCTCCCCGTCTGCCGACACAAGGCTCGCACACAGTCATCAGCAATGAGTACTGTGAGATACTTTGAAATCCCGATTAAAAACGGAGTTTGTGGAAAGAACAGAGCGGTCGCTCTGTCTTCCTGGATAGCGAAGCCGTCGACTCAGACTCTCGTAACCGGCATGAAGTCAGAATGACTGCTGGGTGGTCGCAGTGTGGACAGCTGTGGGGATGGGGGTGTTTGTACCCTGACGTTGGCCACTGAGACCTCATGCCCACCCCTGGGACGTGGGCATGACTCTGGGGTCCCTAGAGGTCAGCTGTCTCTCGTCGTTGCAGCCCTGCGTCTGTGAAGTGCCGTGGGCACTCCAGGCAGCTGACACGCCCATCAGAAAAGCTGGTGCTTTCACCAGGCTCTCGTGCGGCTGGAAACACCAAGGACCGTGGTGCCAGAGAAGGGTCTGCAAGGTGCACTTCTGTAGGCATCAAGGCCATGACCCCGCTGGTCCAGCCTGATGTCCCCTGGGCTTTGGGAGGCACCTCGTGTTCTTTCTGCAGAGAGCCCTCTCCCACGGAAGTCGGGGGACAGCCTTGACCCCGGCACCTGCACAGGTGGTTCAGCTGAATGACCTTTACAGCGCTGGGTGGGCAGGTGGGGCTGTGTGGGGAGTCCTCACTGCCTCATGTGCTGTCCCCGTCCCCAAGCCCAGAGCCCCCCAGGGCCAGGTGACCCCATCACTGGTACACTGTGTACCTTTAAGAAATGTTTCTGATTTTCCTTTAGACCTTTTGCTGATTTTACTATTCCTGTTAGTGTACCCCAATTCTTTACTTTGAAAACTTAATATCAACATGCCAATCTGAGAGAATTTTAAAGCCACCTCAGTGAAAAGCGAAAACTTACTGCAATGCTGTGGCTGGCGGTTCCCTTCTTGCCACTGGGGTTTCTCTGTGTCAGGGATCCGCGGGACACGGACTTCCGATCGAAGGAGTCATCATCTTTGTCTTTGAGGAAAACAGGAGGGGGGTGCTTATTAACCACAAACTTACCCCAAACAAGTGTCTTTGCTTCCTAAGAAATTTTAAAAGGAGCATAAAAACAAATGCGCCATTCAGGATGAAGCTGATGTCCTCGTCACCGCCAAGACATCAAGGTAGGCTAATGACGTCCTGTGCTCTAAAAGGTGGGGAGCTTTGCACCATTATTAGGACGATTTACATCGCAGGACAAGGAAACCACCGCTGCCACCACCATCAACACCCTTATGTGCTTCAGGCAGCAAATTCCAGGTATCCAGACACCACGTCACTGCAACGGTCCCTGAGGGTGGCCCGAGGGCACTGGAGTGTCCTTCGGGCATCAGTGGCATGACATGCCGGGTCCCACGGGTTACGTAGAAATATGGGGCCCCGACTGGCCATTTTCATGCCCCTGAGCTCACCTCCCAGGCCTGGGGGACGAGGGAAGCAGGTGACTCTTACCTTGACTTCTGGGGTAATCACTGAGCTTTCTCCTCACAAGATAGGGTGCAGCCACCACCTGGAAGAAAGAAGCCGTCTCTGGGCGTCAGTACCTTGCTGTAATTGTTAGGAACACCGGGGAGCTAGGTTTGGATTTCTCATCATTCCTGCAGATTCGGATTAATCAGGGCAACTCTCTTCTGTTCCTGGGCAAAATTTGAACTTTTAACAATATTAAAATGCACGCTATCAATACATTACGCGACAAATGCCGGAATATGAAAGAGCTGCTTAGCTTTCGGAGAACTGCAGCCTTGGGTGGGTACAGCGGAAAAGCCCAAGTTCCAGCCCCACAGACGGGTTCAAATCCTATCGCTACCCCTCACCACCGTGACAAGGACGATTTACATCTTCTCTCCGAACTGTCTCCTCATCTGGAAAATGGGCCAGCAGCCCCTGTACAGGATATTGGAAGATTAACTGTACCTAATACATTCTCAGTGCCCCATGGCGGCTGGGCCCCCCACCTTTCTTTCCCTGCCCCTTTCCTGTTGCTCATCTCTCTGCTCTGGGCTAATTCATTCGCTGTTTTGCCTCTTCAGGGGGGAAGCTGAGAGCAAAACGGCCTGACTCCCTGGAAGTCCTGCCAACGCCTGACTCCCTGCGATTCAGCCTGGCTGGTTTTGTGGGCTGTACCAGGAGGCTGGCTGCAGACACGTTCAGGCTGGGCTTCCCGGGACAGGTCAGGAAAGACCACAGCCCCGAGAAGAGGGTCAGGGTGGGGCTGGGAGGCCGGACTGAGACCGCCTGTCGCTGGTCTGTGTGGTCTCAATCCAGTATGTCTACCTCCCCCACCCTCAGGCTCCACATTGGTGCAACAGGGGCGATATCCACACCTGCTTACCAGGTTTTTTGAACATCAAATGGAAGGATGGAAAAAAAATACCGTTTTTAACTATGAAGAGCTACCCATTGCTGTTGTCACGAGAAGCACAAATGACTAGGTGCTCATTACAGCTCACAAGGGGCGTATCAGGCAGCAGGCAGGACCCGGAGCAGACGGCCTGCTCTGTGCGTCCCGCCCATACCCCACGTCCATCCTTGTGCCGTTTCGCACACACTGGCTCCCGTGCTTCGCTCCCACGGCCGGGACCCGCGGCTCCCAGGGGAGGCCCGTCCCCGGGCCCTGGAGCCTGCTGTGTCTGTGAATGTTCGTCACCCAGGACAGGGGGGCGTGGAGGGCAGTACATGCCCAGCACCCGGCCCCTGTGATGTGCACTGTCTCCAGGGCTCTGTGTTCCTCTCAGCCAGTTCCCCTGCCTGGGGTCTGCCCGTCTCCTTCCCCTCTGCCCTCTGCCCTCTGTCCCACCCTCCCACTCCCCTGGCTGGGCTTTCCTGGATTTTCCCCGACAGACAGCCTATGGGGAGACCAGCCTGTGAGACTTGCCAGGTTTCTAAAGTCCCAATGTTTCAGCTCCACACCCCCACCCCCCGCCGCCTCCTCCGTACTTGTCATGCTTCTGGAAAAGTCGGGCCAACCGTTTACCCGCTTCCAGCCTCTCGAGCTTGGATGTAGTAACACATACCTTGACCTCATCCGAAGGGTCTGCATTCAGATCCTTAGGACTCTGGCCCAACTTCCCAACAAGCTGGGGAAGAAATATCTGGAGAACAGGGAAGGAGCCTGTGCTTATGACCGCTCGTCTGACCTCCTGCCACAGGGCGGGCGGGCAGGACACACGGACGGTGTTCTCTGTAGTCCTCGGTCTGGAAGGCCGGGACGGCACGGCAACACCCACAGAGCACACACCACTCCAGGGCTTTGCGCCCAGGGCTGCTGGGTTTAGCAGATTAAAGTACAGAACGCCCAGTTGGCTTTGAACTTCAGATAAACAATGATTAAATTTTTTTAGTATAAGTATGTCCCAGATATTGCACGGGGTATACTTATACTAGAAGATGACTTGCTGTGAATCTGAAATTCAGGTTTGGTTGGGCATCCCGGCAGCCGCATCTGGGACTCCCCTAAGAGCATTTATCATCCTTCTGCCAGATTTCCTCATACTCTGATCTGTCTGGAGACTCCCGACTTGAATCGGGGGGAAGGATGTTGGCCTCAGGTCTCTGTCGTGGGCAGGTCCCCATCCTGCTACTGTCACACCCCCCTTGCAACAGCGCTTTTATGAAGGCCACCAACACGAGGTGCTGTCCAGCTTGCTTCCTTTGGACTTTAAAGTGTGTGTGTGTGTGTGTGTGTGTGTGTGTGCGCGTGTACCACGTGGCTGTGTTTCCAATTCTCATGCAGGAGCTGACGGTCCCCCCATATAGCACTCTTCCATTAGAAACAACACTAGCAAACGAAAAGGAATCCCAGCGCAGCCCACAGGTCACTGATTGCAGGAACACGAGGCTGGCAGATTAAGGAGGAGGGCGGTGGCTGCCCCTGGGGCTCTCGCTGCCAGGCCCTGGGCTGCCCTGTGCTCCTGGCCAGGGCTCCAGGCACGACCCCCAGGGCCCTGCAGCCCCTCCACTCACCGGGAGGCTGGATTTCTTCCGGGGCTTTGCCGAGGTCCTCACAGTGAGCCCTGCAGCCTGCAAGGCTGCAATCCTGTACTCGATATCTGAAACCTGAGGGAACCACAGACAGACAGACAGACAGATGTCACTTGGATGTCCTTTCAACGTCACAGGACAGGAGAAGCTGCTGCCCCCGATTCACCGATTTCATCATGCTTCCCCTAAGGTGGGTGACCCGCCCAGGGCCACTTCCTGGGCGCCCCATTTCCATCCGTCTTCCATGGTTGTCGGGAGGGTCACCCCCAAGCGGGGGAGGGGCTCCATACATTTTCTGGGGGCTCATCCATGAGGGATTGAGGGAGGGTTAGTGACGGGGGGAGAGCTGAAGGCAGAAGCTTCTGGGAACACGAACCGGGCCCCCTTCAGGTCCGTCCAGATCCCTCCCACAGCCCCAAACCCTTCTCACGGTCCTTGGGGCTCTCTGGAATCTGCTCTCCTCCCAGGCACTCCCCTTCTCATTCCCTGGGCTCTGGCGCAGGGCTCCACTGCGGATCCCCGAACACGCCAAATTCGACACCACCTCGGGGCCTTCGCCCGGGCTGCCTTCTTGTATTATCCCTTCCCGACCACCCTTCGAGGCAGCCCCATCCGAGCGCTCCCTGGGGCTACCCTCTCCTCAGTCTCGTCGACTTGTTCTCTGTCTCCTCCCACTAGAAGCACAAGCTCCAGGAACGCAGGGGCTTGGTCTGAGGTGCTCATAGCTGCATCTTTTGTGTCTACACAATGCCCACCGTACTTGGGATCCCGACTGAGAACTGTTGGCTCCATAGGAAGGAATAAATGAATGCAAAGTTCTCAGGCTCACTTGCGCCCCCTAAGGGGCACGGCCTGGGGATGCGCCCCTTCTTCCTTGGGGACAGAAGGGCACTTGCTGAAGAGAAAAGAAGCTGGAATGAATGGACAGTGGGTGCTGGGTCCCCTGCACTCAGACGGGCAGACCTCCTCTCCTCTGGGGTCAGCAGGGGGAGGGCAGAGCAGAGCCCAATCACCTTGACTGTCTCTGGGAGACCCTGGCTCTGTCCTTTGACCTTTGCACACCACTAACACACCTCCTACCCTAACTCAAGCCCGGGACCCAAGTTTACAGGATGACCCTCGGTCAGAGTCTGGTCCTGAGCCCCGGGGCTGTCCTAAAATCTAAGTCTGCTGCTGGAGAAGCCCTCCTCACGGCGCAGGGAGGGCGAGTGCCAGCATCTTCCTTCCGTGGCTGAAAACGCCACCTGTCTCTTGCCAGCCTAAAAGGGAGATGGGCAGGGGTGGGGTGCAGGGAGAGTGATTCCACGGAAAGCCCCAGGAGCCTGTCCTGGAGCCGACAACGTGGGCTCCCTATGTGTGAGCCCTTCGGGGGGCTGACCACCCTTGCCAGGCCTCCAGGGCCCCCACTATCTATCTGGGCGAGCCGCCTGCTCCCGGGGCCGCCGGAGCTACCTCGCTCTCTGTCCGCTGCACCTGAGAGGCCGTGGCGGCCACTCTGTCCTCCAGCTGCGACAGCTCCTCGTCTGTGGTCCTGCTGGGCGTTTGGCCTGCAGCCGTGCACACCTAGAAGAGGGAAGCGCCGCACGTGACCACCAGCCGGGCAGCCCGCGGTGGGGCGCCGTGTGCAGCTGGGGCCAGGCCGCTGGCTCAGGCACAAGCTGTTGACCCCCGGCCCCGCCTCCGAGTGTGTGCTGCTGAGGTCGCTCAGGCAGCCTCACCTCCGGGGCGGCCCTGGGGGGGTCCTCGATGGGGGCGCTGCTGCCCTGCTCTGCCCCTCCGTCCTTGCCCTCCTCCTCGGATGAGGCCCGCTGGTCACCGGTGCGGCTGATCAAGGCCTCCAGTCTTCTCTTTAGGGCCGCCTCTTCCATGTCGGCACCTGTGGGCTTGCTGCCAACTGGACACTGAGATGGACGAGTGGCTGATCTCAGCCGGTCGGTCACGTGGAAGCGCTGAAAGCAGAAGCAGGGCTCTGGAAAGCACCTGCCCCCAGCACCCTGGGGGCTTGGCCAGAGCTGCGGTCTCATCTACGCCCCACACGAGCTCGGCCAAGGGGCCCGCGCCACCTGTCCTCCAGAACCAGGCCCCGAAGGGTGGGATGTTCCTGGCGATCCTAACAGCACCCAGGCCACCTGAGACGCACCATTTTTCTTCTCTCTGTTCCCACACTGGGTCCCCAAGCCACTTCCTAGGGTTTAAGCATCCTTATGGTGCCAAACCAAGACCTCAACCTGGACTGTCTGCATCTGCCAATTGAGGCTACGGGGTGCTGACAAGTCTGTTCTCGGGGTTTTTCTCGGTCTCCCCGTGATAAGACTGAAGTACACGATGGCCGTGTAGCCTCAGCATCACCCGAGGGCTCAGGGGTGGGTCCTGAACTTGCATAAATGCTACAGCATTCATGTCCACTGTCCATGCTATGTCTCTGTGTACCAGGCTCTGTGTCCACGGTCTCACCCACGAGCCTCCTGTCGGCTTTGCAAAGGAATCATACTCCTAGACGCTGGTCTGGAGCTGACAGAAGTGTCTACAGTGTATTTGTGACTCTTGGAAAACTGCAAAGTTGTGTGAACCTCTCAGTGATGTTTTCCATGACACAGTGAGTAGCACCCTTTACCACTCACCCCTTCCTGAATCTAGAGCCAGGGAAGTTTGCCACCCAGGGTGGACTTGGATGAGATTCATACAACCCAGAATATCTATTTATCTGCCTTTGCTGGTGAGAAACTCAGAGCTAAACAGTGTTCATTTCTGGAAATCTCTTCTCCAGAGTTTAGCTAGGCCTCTGTTTCTTGAAATTATTTTTCAGGGTTGTATTTTTTTTTTTTTTTTTCGTTACGTGGGCCTCTCACTGCTGTGGCCTCTCCCGTTGCGGAGCACAGGCTCCGGATGCGCAGGCCCAGCAGCCATGGCTCATGGGCCCAGCTGCTCCGCGGCATGTGGGATCCTCCCAGACCAGGGCACGAACCCGTGTCCCCTGCATCGGCAGGTGGACTCTCAACCACTGCACCACCAGGGAAGCCCCAGGGTTGTATTCTTTGGTCATAATTTTCTAAGTCTCTAGAAGGGGGTGGGAGCCCCTCATTGATTCCAGAACTTACCCTAATTCTACAGGTGGGGAAAGGATGCTCAGAGCCCCTCCTTTGCCCGGCCTCACTCAGTAAGCATCATACCAGGGCCTAGACTGCAGTAAGCTCCGGCTGCTACCCGTTCCTGCACTCCGGCCAGCGGTTCACTGCCTGTGGACACGAGCTTCATGTGAAGGGATTTAGTGTGTTGGTTTTAAGAAGTGACCAGAGTCATGTGAAAAAAACAGAAAAATGGCCAAATTATCCCAACAGCCCTTTACAGCCAAAATGACTTGCGAGGGGGTAATGAGATTTAAAAGTTAAGGGCGGGGACTTCCCTGGTAGCAAAGTGGTTAAGAACCCACCTGCCAATGCAGGGGACACGGGTTTGATCCCTGGCCCGGGAAGATCCCACATACCGTGGAGCCACTAAACCCGTGAGCCACAACTACTGAGCCTGCGCTCTAGAGCCCGTGCACCACAGCTACTGAAGCCCGTGTGCCTAGAGCCCGTGCTCCCAACAAGAGAAGCCACAGCAATGAGAAGACGGCGCACTGCAACAAAGAGTAGCCCCCACTCGCCGCAACTAGCGAAAGCCCGCGCACAGCAACGAAGACCCAACACAGCCAAAAAAAAAAAGTTCAGGGCAATTCCATCCCACAGAGCTTGCTCAGGCCAAAACTCCTGGTGTCATCTGACCCCTCTCTTTCTCTCATTCTGAATCCATCCCCGCTGGCTCTGCCTTCAACAGGTACCCAGGGTCCACCTCCCATCACCTCTGCTACCCTGCCTGGTTCAGCCGCCACCTTGTCCTGCCTGGACGATCCACCAGCCTCTTAACTGGCCTCCTGTTTCCACAGCCTGTTCTCAGTTTGCCCCGCAGAGGGCTCCCTGGGGGTCGGCGGGGGGACGTGAGCAGGGAGGCCGGTCGCTCATTAACTCACTGGTTGCCTCTCCTTCGGCCCACAAAGCAGACGTCAGAGTGTGAGGTAAGGGTCCCCCCAGGACCGCCTTCCGGGACTCTGAGATCTCCCTCCCCGTCCCTTCCTTCGGGGAGTGAGTCACCCGCTGACGCTGCTGCTGGGAGGCGGGCTTCCGCACCACGACGTCACTCACACCCACAGTGCCCGTCGGGCCGCCTTCCGGCCCCTCGGCCCCGGGTGCTCCTGGCAAGCAGAGGGCAGTGCTGGCTATCACTTAATTTTCTCTGTGAATGGAACCAACAGCCTCGCAGACGAGTGCCAAGGGCTGGAGTGAGCTGAGGGGGAAGCGGCACGTCTACTGGGACGCCTTTCTACAGGCTCCCAATTTCCTGAAGATGCTCAAAAAGCCAATCTCCTCAGAGGCCACAACGGGTGAAGAGAACCCCTGTGACGTTCGGAGGGTAGATTCTATTGGGCCTGATGGGAATAAATCTTTCAGAGTAAATGAGGTTGAGAAACTTCAGAATCCCCTTGAGAAACGGGAACCTGAGGCCACCCCAGGCAGGAGCTGACGAGGGTGTGGGGTGGAGATTTATGAACTGCTGTCAGAAGGGGGCGCTGTTTCTACTTGGTAAATAAAAACCCCACACATACAGACACACACACACACACGCACGCATGTCCAACACACATGTATGCATGTATGCACGCAAACACATATACACGTGATGGCAGCTGGCCAGCACGACAGGATACAGCTGGGGTGACCAAGGCATCCAAGTTTGAACCCCGAAAGCCCTATGTCCTGGGAACCCTTCGGCCCCTGGCAAAGAGGGGCACGGGTTGCCCTGGTGATGCTGGTGGGGGAGAGCGAGGCCCAGAGGGGGATCTGGGTCAGCATCCAGGACGGGGTGGAGGCAGCCCGGGGTCTGGGCAGCTGGGGGTGAGCCCTGGGGTCCTGCGGGCTACCGGGCCTGCGTGGGGGACACCTGCCACAGACTCAGGTGAGAGGGCCTGTCCTGAAAGCATCCTGAGGGGCAGAGGGCCTCTCCCAGACCTGCGCGGGGGCACTTCAGACTGTGCTCCCTGCCGGCCACGGGCTCTGGAGTTCCTCTCCTGAGAGCCTGGGCCTGTTTCCTCAGCTAAAACCCGGGGACTGAAACTCTGTCTCTGGGCCAGCCTGGCCCTGCCGGCCCACAGAGGGTGTCAGAGGGCACCTCCGTGGGTGAAGGTGGCTGTGGCCCTGGGGTTGCGTGGCTCCCACTGCCCACCCCAGCTGCCGCCGGAGCTGATCTCCAGAGCCCGCGGGTGCTGCAGGGAGGGGGCCGGGTGCTGAACCGGGGCCGTGGCTCAGGCAGACTCGGGGCAGGGCCTGAGCATCGCCGCCCCTACGCCCACAGCTACCCGGCTGTCTGTCTGTCTCTCAGACGCACATGTGCACATGCACTCGTATTAGACCAAGGGTTCTGTTCCATTCACTCCCCAGAAGGTGTCCCCAATGCGCTGGGTACACCCTCACATACAGGGTGGGCAGGAGACCCCTGCCCGCTCCGACGGCCTGGACCCCCGGATACTGCAGGACCAAACGAGGTCCCCGGGTCTTCGCTGCTCTGACTTCCCAGCCCCTCTCTCGTTACATCCGCACCAAAGGCTGCACACCTGCGCCCCTCTGAGTTCTGCACCTTTGGCTGGGCCCACAGATGCCCAGGCTCCGAGCACGGCGGACGGCAAGGGCCTGGACGGGGCAGACGCACCCCCCTCAGCTGTACAGTGGAAACCTGTTCAGCTCTGAGCCCCATACATGAGCTCCCAATCGAGAGTCTTCCTTGCAAAGCCCGTGTTGGTGCCTCAACCTCCCTTAACAAAGGGGCTTCAGCAGGTCAGCAGGCGGTCCCCGGCTGACCCCCAGCGGGTCAGCAGGTGGTCAGCAGGCAGCTGACATGTACTTGTTCCGCTCAGAGATATGCAGCAGAGGGAGGGATTCAGTGGCTGGAGGACAGAGCCACTCCGGCCAGCAGGATGCTGGCACCTACCACTTCGGGAGCACCAAATTCCCAAGCAGTGGAAGGAAAGGTCAGGCCACCATTCGTCATGTGCCCTGGGAAGGTAACTGTGAGGCCCATTTTCTGACAGCTGGGGTCCTGGAACGCCAAGCAGAAGCTGGGAGCGGTACCAGAAGCGGGGGCGGGGGGCGTTGGGAGGATGAATAAAGCAGGACAGGTGACACATTCAGCGTCACTGCCGTGGCGCAGCCATTGTCACTGCTGAACCTGAGGCGCACAGGAAGGTGTGAATTGATTATGCCAGGCTGCTCAAACTAAAAGTCAAGAGCCCTGGGTCACCGTGGGCCAGGAGGCCTGCCAGGTGATGACCTGAAAGTGCGACTGGCTCATACCTTGAGTCACCAGCTCTTGAGTCACCGGAGTCTATTAACTCCCAGGCCGGGAAATGAGAAAATCAATTCTACTGTTTTCTTCCAAGCCCAGCAGATGCATCTGGCCTGCCATTATCTCCTCTGTGGTCCACCTTGTTTTAAAAGAGGGAGATGGCTCCAGCAGGCTGGTAAGATGCTTTTGCATTGTTCCGCAGGTAATTAGTTTGATCTTCACAGCACCGAGGGCTCTGAGTGGGCAAATCTGCCCAGAGAAGAGCACAAGCTGAGAAGCTTCAACACGAGGGTTTCGGCGGGAGTGGCCCCAGCCTCGAGTGGCTGCTGGTAACTGAGACCAGCTGTGGGCACACTCATGGCACCTGAGAGGCAGCGATCAATACCTGGGAGGGGGGTGCTCAGCAGACAGTCGTGTGTCCCCGGGGAGCGTGGTGGGCATGAACCCACGGCAGGAGAATAAGAGCTAACCCAACCAGGGTCCAGCACCGGCACCGGCACAGTGAAGTATCACCTCCAGAGCGAAAGAGAAAGGAAAGCATCCCACGACGAGAACTCGGAAAGTTCTCGTCCTGACGGAGGAGGGACACGAGCTGGGGGCAGCACAGAGCCGTGGAGAGACCACAGCCCTCGGAACGGGAGGTGAGCTGCAGGCTGGTGGTTTTCTCTGAGCAAGAGAGCCTGTCCGCGTGCCGCCAGGACAGCCTGGACGCGTCCTGGTTTTCCATCTGGGATCAAGAGCCGTTGGCCCCCTGTAGACGCCCCCCAGGGAACACCTGTCTCTCAGGTGCTCAGGGGCCCAAAGCTGCTCGTGCCCCTCCCTTCGGCCCAAAGCGGGAGCCGCTCTGTCCCGTGTGAGCTCCGTCCAGGTAAATCACATGCTATCTGGACACACGGACGGCAACTTGGAATGAACTTCCGGTGTTTCCAACTCGTTTGCAGCAAAACACAGATATACAATTTAGGAATGCAGTACAGACAGAGGAGGAAAATGAGCGACTGTAGTTTGGCACTGGTGAGACTTTCGTGGGGAAACTGAGTCAGTGTCTTTAGCCTGCGCTCTTGGGGCACCAGGGGCTCACTACCCACCACTTGGGGCAGGGTGCGTGCCAGGGCTCCGTTTCCTGCACCTCCTTGATCTCAGCCCCTTGGAAGCATCCGTCCTTGGTACCACATGCTGTGCTCTCTTTGGCCTCTCTCTCAGCATGAGTGATTATTTATAGAAAGTCTTTGCTGACTATCCCTCACCCAGAAAGTCCTGACCACGAGTACAGATGCGAAGACAGGCAACAGGTCAGGGGAGGACCATTCAGACTGACCCCAATAGTACATTACTCTCAAGAACTCCCGGATCCCCACGGCATGTCTGTGAGTCCTGTAAGAGTTGGCCCTGGGTCTTCCCTGATGAACAGGGACGCTACTGCCCTCTGGAGGCCGCTCTTTACACTGCCTGATTCCCTTTTCATAAAGATGCAGGTGAAGTCAGTGAAAGTAAATAAAGTCAAGAGAAAGAAATGAAGAAGAATTCCAGAGACGAGATACAAGCATGAAACAGAGAGTAATTTTCAAGGAGGCATAAAGGATGACTGGTGTCAGTAGGACTAAATACTGGGATATGTGTTTTACTGAATGTCACTAAAGCTGCTAAATTAAAAACTTGCTGAAAATAGACAATTTAATTCTAGTCTTTATCCCATTGTCTTCTGTCCTGGACACTGGGAACTTCTCTGCCAGTGGTGGTTCTGCCACCCAGGGAGGTCTCTGTCTCTGCCCTGGGGAGGTCTCTGTCTCTGCCCTGGGGAGGTCTCTGTCTCTGCCCTGGGGAGGTCTCCGTCCTGGCCGCACTGGCCCTCCACAATCATCCCACAGCCTTCCCAGGGGCCAAGCCAGTCACTCCCTGGTCTGAATCAAAGGACACTTCCTTGCATCAGCATTTCCCCTGCTGTTCCATAAAAGAAGAGTGAGCCCCTGGGTTGAATGACAGGGAGCGGGGTCTTCACTGCAGGCCTCCTGAGGGCCTTTCGTGCCCTGCTGTGCTCAGGGCAAAGGGTCAGTGGCTTCTCTCAGAGACGGAGGTCGGAGCAGGAGGTACGTCCAGCCCCGGGGTCGGGTGATGCTGCCAGGTGATATTATAGGAAAGAGAGCCAGCTGGGCCTGCGGGCACTGACTCTGCAGAGGGAGACGCAGAGTTTAAAAACTCCATGCTTCTGCCCTGTTGACATTTTAGATCAATCTTAGAACAACAAAAAAACCTCCCAAAACAAATAACAAAACACCTGACACTGATTCACCAGAAAGCCATGCGAAGAAAGGCACCTTCTTGGCCTTCCCTGGTGGCGCAGTGGTTGAGAGTCTGCCTGCCGATGCAGGGGACACGGGTTCGTGCCCTGGTCCGGGAAGATCCCACATGCCGCGGAGCGGCTGGGCCCGTGAGCCATGGACGCTGAGCCTGCGCGTCCAGAGCCTGTGCTCCACAACAGGAGAGGCCACAACAGTGAGAGGCCCGCGTACCGCAAAAAAAAAAAAAAAAAAAGAAAGGCACCTTCTGCAAGTCAGGCGCTCCTCTTCTCAGATCATTCACTTCCGGAGCACAGCTGTGAAGGGACTGAGGCTGGAAGGGCCCCTAACCTGTTCTAGGTCAGCTTAGACTGAGGAAGGGCCCCCCCAACGTCCGAGCCCGGGAAGGGTGAGCCCCGGGCAGATCAGAGGGGGAAGCGGGTGCGGATGGAAGCAGAGGGCTCAGCAGAGGCCCGGCCCGCTGACAGCCCTACTTGTTATCCCCAAGGCCCTGGAGAGCAGTCTGTAGCCTGTGGCTGCAGCACTGGACCACACCCCTCGTCCCAGGGCTTTTGACATTGCACATCTCTGTTGAGCAGGCTTGTGCAGTTTTATAGTTTTGAAGTACTTTTAATTTCTCAGCAATGAACTGATGTTAAGGTAATAAGGCGCCACCCAAAGAAGCAACTAGAATGCGTTCTTTCTGGCCACCTTACCTGCTTCTCAGACAAGGTCTGGCTTCTCCGTCTGGGATGGTGAGAGGCCACCCGCTGAGCCCAGATGCTTTCTTCATCTGAGGTGTCCACGTCGGCCAGATAGTGGGATGGGAGCTGCTCATTCCAGAGGACATTTGTTCCTTTGGAGGAAGAGTGGGTTTGGATTATTTGGAGTGAAAAGCTGAAAGCCAATGGGCATTTTCTCCAATGAACAGAAATCAGAAATCGAAGAAAACGGAGACATGATTCTATTCCATTGATATTATGGGGCTGAGATCCCTAAATCAAAGTAAGAATGGAACAGAGTCCATGGTCCCACACACGGAATTTCAGGAGCAGAAGCCCCTGCCCCGGCCAGCACTCACCGGGGGGCTCCAGGTGGGCAAAGCAAATGTAATATAATTACATCACATGGAGTTCCACACGCCTCGGGTGTGGCAGACACGCGTCCCAGGAAGTCTCCACGAGTGGAGGTGACTTTGGGAAGCCTTTCCACATTGGTCACTGGGGACTGCTTTTCCTGCCAGACTAGTGATTCGCAGACTCTCGTGGGCACAGGTCACCTATGGTGTGGCCTGAGATGCTTATTCCTGGGCTCTGTTGGTGGAAGAGCCCCATGTTCTCACCAGGAAGTACCCCCAGAGCTCCAGGTTGGCCTGTAGGGTACCACATCCAGCCGTGCTGGGACGGGGAGGGCTTGACCCTCCTGTGGGGCGCCCCACGGAGCCAGGGTCCCAGGAATCAGCTGCACAAGCTGTTTCTGTGCTTGACGTGCAGTCGGCCACATGGCCCTGCCAGCACCCTGACCGACCTGGGGGCAAGGTCCTGAGCTCCAGCTGAGACTCTGGCCCCGTGGACACTGTGGTTTCAGCCTGGGAGATGTGCGCTAATGACCTGGCCACGCCGTGTTGGATGCCTGGCCCCCGTGAGCTCATAAATGTGTGTTGTTTAAAGCTGGTAAGTTTGTGATGGGTCATTACGTCTCAGGGCTAACAGACGCAACCATCCCATTTAGAGCCCACGACAGTGCGCTGAGTTAGGCACTAACCCTATTTTACAATGAGGAAACCGAGGCACGGCGGTTCAGAGGTTTGATCAAGCACACACCACACTCCTTTAAACCGCAGACCTTGTAGCTTGTCTGATGCACTATTAAGAGACAACCCTGCCAATCTGTCTCCAACAGACTCTCTTCTACCACACTCGCTGTAAGACGCTCCCAATTTGAGACGAGGTGACAAATGTGTCTTAGAATCAATGAAATCGGGTGGTGAGTTGGTCGAAGGAGCTGGGCTTGAAACTCAGAGCTGCCTGTCTCCCAGGCGCATTTCCCAGCTCGATACTGTCTGTCTCAGCTTCTCCCTCTCCCCGCTGCCACCCCATCCACGTGCTGGGGTTGATTAGGGATCCTGGGAGGAAATGCGTGTGTCCGAGTCTTCATCCTGTGACTTGGTCGATGTAGATTCGTTTACTCGTTGTTTATGGGGAAGTAAAACTGCCCTCCCACTGCCCCCAGACGCCTCCAGGATCCTAATGGGCATGTGAATCACGAGCTTACAGTCCCTATAATATAATGAAAAGGGAAAATGGAAAGCCGGCCCACTTCCTGGCAGACGGCATCTTAACCACCTTTCCCCGTCAGCTGGTCCCACGCTGCAGCCACGTGGGAGCAGGTCGGTGGGAAGCAGCCGGTGCTACTTCTGTGATCTCATCTGTTCCTTCATCACTAGGGTACCTGAACCCCGGACCCCAGTGCACACTCCCCCAGGGCACAGGAACAGACAGTGATTCGGGATTTCATTATGAAGCCGACTGTCTGACAACAAAACTAAACTGAGGATTTAAACTAGGGTCTCAGCACTTAGGGACCTCCCGAGTCATAGCTGGAAGGGAGGTGGCGCCCCAGGTTTGGAGCTGCCCTGTCCTGTGGATAAGATGGTCGGTCCGGGTGACCAGTGATCCCATCATCTCAGGGACACCTGCACGTCCCTACCCCAATCCTGCTCGATGTCCCCCCATCCAAGGTGGCAATGAGCTGTGTGGCCAGGGCAGGCGTCAATGTTGGTACTTCTGAGTGTTACCAGGGAAGTGCCCAGCCCAGGGGAGCAGGGGTTGATGGCGTGTGCCAGGCCTGCACATGCTGAGCAATCACAGTGAAGAAGGGGCTGCGCACTGTAAACCAGTCAGGGGGCTGGCACAGATCGGGGTCGGGGGGCAGGGTGCCAGCGACCCTCTCCTCCACACAGAGCCCGCGCGGAAGACGCTTGTCAAGGGCACCTACCAGGTGTTGCAGTGGTCCCCGGGGCTGTCATGCAAGACTCTCCCGGCAGGCAGAGCTTAGCAAGGGCGTCTGGTCCGGCAGGCGAGAGGCTGGCCATCTGCCCTTCTGGACAGGGGTGGCACCCAGAGGCCCTGGCGTCAGCCTCATCCAGGACCACGGGCTCCTGGGAGGTGGTCTCTGTGCAGGGCTCATCTGTGAGGGCCTGAGCACACGGGGCCTGTTGGCAGGTTTTACTAGGAAAGGGCAGGTCCTTGGAAAGTGGGTCTTTCCAGTCCAAGTCTTGAGGGTTTCCAGGCATCATCTGACCAACCGAACACTGGACACCCATCCTCTCTGCCCCCTGAGACTCAATTCCCTTTCATTTCAAAGGGCTCCGGACTTGCCGCTGGAGCAGGACCCGTGGCCCAAAGACCTTTTGGGTGCTGGCTCCCAGCTCCCTGCTCTGTTGTGCCCCCGCCCGCAGGCGTCTGCAGATCAGCCCCGGAAGCCCGAGCCTAGCCCCAGCTCTGGGCTGGTGCCATTTGAGCCCGGGCACTGAGATGTCAGGGCTCCAGCTGAGGGGGTCCTCGCTCTGGGGCTCGTGCCCCAGCTGCCTGTGCTGTGTGCGATGGTCCTCTGTGTGCCGGGCTCAGCCTCTAGTGCCTTTGGAAAGGGATCCCGTGAGGCTGAGAGGATCACCCCTTGTCCAGGTGAGGCAAGAGGATGGAGCCTCACGCAGGGTCCCCAGGCCAAGGGCACACAGCTAAGGAGCAGTGACTACATGGCCGGTTCTCCTGGGCGGCCCCCGTGGATGCCGTGTGTCTTGGTGTAAGTATTAACAGCAGCCTGTTCCACCCACAAGACTATCCTAGTTTGGGCAATGAAGCAGAGGACCCCACTAATGAGCCACAGTGGGTGCAGGCACATGCCGGGCCCTGTCCGACTCCAGGGCGATGTGGCTCCTCTGCCCTCGCTCTTGAGTCTCAGGGGTTCTGCCTTCACCCGGGGACAGGCACCCGCCCCGAACGCCCCAGGGCCCTGACTCATTTGCCCCGCGCCCCACTTCTCCGAGAAGCCGACCCCGTCTCTCCAGGGACTGGAGGGTGTGACGTTTCTGTGCCCCCCACCCCAGCTGTCCCCCTGCCTGTGATGCCCCCATGGCCATCAGACTGTTTCCCAGAATGCTGTCTCCCCACCCGGGGCCTGAAAACCTGTCGCCCAGGTTATCCTGGGATGGCCGGGGGCAGAAAAGAGAGCCCACTGACCTGCGGGTTGTCCGCGGCCACAGAGACCAAGGACAGGCTTGAGGGGTGCCCGCAGGACGGAGTGGAGTCGTCAGAGTCTGCCTCGAAGTCCAAGCCGTGAATGGGGAGGACGCGCTTTTTCTGAGCAGGAAGGGGTGCGGGAAAGAGGAGACAGAGGGTCAGCCTGACTGTGAGGGCCACACGCCCTCACCTCGGGCAGCGGGGAGGGCATCTCCAAGGGCACAGCCACCACCTGCGGCGGCGCCGGGGGCCGCCCAGAGCCCCCCACCCATCACAGGCTCTGCATCCCCAGCGCGTCTTAGAAGAGCAGAAGGAATCATCCGCTCAGCCCCTGACGGGCTCACGGCTGCTCAGAGGTGCTGAGGACACAGCCCAGCAGTGCCGCCCTGGGGGGCAGGCAGGCTTCTCTGGGCCGATGGGTGCTTCTCACCCCTCACACTTTAGCAAATGAGGGGTGCCCAGCGCGGGGAAGCAGAGGCGGGAGGGGGTCTCCAGAGAGCTCCATCATCTTTAGATTAAAGAGCAGAGTTTATTCCGAATCCTTCCCTCATAATGGTTTCCATCCTTTAAACGTACTGTGTAGGGAATATTCAACACTGGAGAGTATTCACTGAGCTCAGTCAACGAGACATATAAAATTTTCTCATAAAAAGATGCCTACAGTCCCCGGGGGCCAGCTGTGCAGACCAGCCAGCGTGGTTCTCAGAGACCCTGTCACTCTCCAAGGGGCTCCAGCCAACATCACCGCCCGCCCCGCCCCTCCCCTCCCTCCTGCTGCCCTTCTGTCAACCTGTCCAGAAACCCCGGGGATTACTTTGCTTGTCTTTATCACCAAAAATAAGTTAAAAAATAAGTGAAAGCAGAAGCAGACACCAATAAAAAACAAGGCTCACGGCTGGCTATAAACAAAAGCAAGGAAGTTCACAGAGGAAAGCCAGAGGGGGTTTGCTTCCCTGAAAGGTGCAAAGGCTGTTTCCGGGGGACACTAGTGCCCTCACGACCACGTGCCCAGAGGACGCTGGCCGGATGTCCAGGCAGGGCTGGAGGTCCAGGAAGGCCTCTCTGCAGGCCCCGCTCCCCTGCGGCTTTCTCTGGGGTCTCCTATGGAGAGACCTGTGCCGAGAGCACACTGCTGCTTGGTGCTCAGTGATCTCAGAGGCTGCGGGACATGGTGGAGGCAGGCGGCTCTTCGTGCTCCTGCCCCGCGGAGTGATGGAGAGCCTGAGATTCTCAGGAAATCAGAATCCGAGCCTCCAGCATCAAGGAGGGCGGGGCTGGGGGAAGACTTACTTTGCTTCCAACGGGCTGGGCCTGGGCCCCTGTGTCCTGTTCTCTGTCCTCATCCGTGTGCTTGCTGTCTCCACTTCTCCCTCCGGGGCCTGGCTCAGGCCCACCTGCAATGGACGCCTGCATGACTCCACCAGGACAAGACCATCCGTCCATCCGCCCACCGACCCCTCCATCTGCTGTGAAGCGACCAGGCAAGGCCCTCGACTGGCCTCCCAAAGACCTATCTGAGCATCAGTTAGAGCTGGTCTGAATCACAGCAGAAAACGAACACTCTGCATCAACTTCACCGATGGTCAGCTTCACTGACTGCTTCCTAAGCGGCGTGTGGGTGAAGCAGGCCTGGAGCTAAGTCACCTCTTCCCAAACTAACCTCTTCACTTTCAGTCTCATCCCACTTGCTTCTCAGCCCCGGGCCTCCCTCCCCTCCCTTCTCTGCCCCCCCAGGACGCCCTTTTCACCTGAGCCTCCAGGTCTGTCCCCCGACCCCCAGCACAGCCTCACTCTTCCCTCTTTCCCCCCAGTCACACTGGCCTGGCCGGTGTTGTTCCCTCAGGTCACTACACAAGAGTGATGGAGTGCATTCTGGGGTTTTAGTCTGGAAGCCCCATGGATCATCCGCCTTCCTCGGGGGCCAGGGGCACCCCGGCATCCTTGTGAGCACAAAAGACTTACTGTTGACGTCAGGTGAGCTCAGCACTTGGTCAGGTAAACCTATAGCCGAAGAAAAGCGCTCAGCAAAGACCCCAGCGGCCCTCACCAGCTACACCCCTGCGTTAGGCCCTGCCTGGACCAGCTTTTGAAACATTAACTTGAATCACTTCTTCTTCTTTTTTACGTTTGACTACTTCGTTTTAAAGGTACGACTTTCCCGATTTTGTGCTCTTTCCGTGTGCCCTTTCTTGGTGTGCTGCATTCACAGGTACCAGCGGGGAGAATGCAGCCCCTGGACCATCACCCCACCCGAGACCTGCCTCACTGGGTCCGCAGCAGCGGCTGCAATCAGATTTTTTGTTGCCCCCCAGTGCCACCTCCTGGCCCTCGGTGGTGACAGTTCTGAAACTGGCTGCTTCTGGGTGGCACTGGTTCCCAGCTCTGCACCCTGGCTGGGCGCCAGAATCCCCGTGACCTTTTACCTAACGCAGATTCCTGAGCCCACCCCAGTCCCTAGAAATCAGAACCTCCCGGGGCCAGGACCAGGTCCTCAGCGTTGTGATGTGGCCTGTGGTTTCCCACCGTGAACGGGGCCTCTGGCGTTGAGATTCTCAGACACTTCGGTGTGGCTTTTCCCGTGCTACCTGTGGTTCCCACAACTGAGTGCTGCGGCGGCGGTGAAACCACACTCCTGCTGCAGGAAGATCCCTCAGCTGCCTCCCGGCCGGCCGAACAGACACGGGGTCGCGGGTGCATGCGGCTGTGGGATTTACTGATAGGCTCCAACCGAGACAGAAATATCGGCCACGATCCTGGTGAGGATCCTGGTGAGGAGGTGGGGAAAACTCCCGAAGCATAGGGTGACGGTGCCCCCCGCCCCACCGTGTCACCAGGACACTCCTAGTGACGCCAGCTGTCTCAGCACAGTTATCAGGAGAGCCACTTTTACAAACGTCCTGGTTTCGATGATTTATCACATGCCCCCTGCACCCCCGGCCCAAGGAAGCCCCCTACCCAAGGAAGCCCCCTACCCCTGTGGTCTGTTGCTCCAGGTGCCAAAAGCCATCACAGGTGAGGAAGCCTCTCGGTGGTCTGTCCTAAATTCAACAGTGTGCTAAGATTGCTCAGAAACACCTGTGCCAGGCCCAGTGAGTGTGCCAATGCCCTGAGGGTGGCTATGCCTACCTCCTGCATCTGCCTATCAACGTAGGGCTTTACAGGGCCCGAGACACAAGTAAGGCGCCTCTCCAGGAGGCCTGGGGGAGACGCCCGGGCTGGCGCCCAGTGAGGACACCCCCAATCCCAGAAGCACCGCCTCCGCTCGGGACGTGCAGGAGCTCCAGACCCCGGGGCATTCTCCTCGGTGCCCCAGATGGAGACGGTCAAGACACCGAGCCCCCAGATACTGGCCTGACAGGCTGTCACAGCCCGAAGGCCTGGCCAGGTGTTGGCAGAGCCTGGGACTCAGGTGACAGGGACAAGGCAAGAGCTTCCCGAAAACACCGCTCAGTTCTCTCCGTTGAAGTTCAGGAGACACTTCTAAGCTCAGGCAATCTCACGTCCTTCCCCCGACATATCCCTCTACCCCAATGGCTTCAAGGTGGACAACACAGGTGAGCACAGGTTTAGTGTAAGAACACCATCTGGACCTCAAGTTCTTCATGGAATAAATACTTGGATTCAAAATATTAAAACAAACGATTGAGCTACAGCCCATCTCTTATGTCTTGATGATCTCATCGGACTCACGGGGAATGTTTGCTGAAAAGACAGAGTCTGGGCCCCGTACTGGATGCCTGGGGAAGAGGCTCACTCCTTACCTGCTCCCTGCAGCCTCCCGCAGAGGGACCGCGCTACCTGGGCCCCCCCGGAGTGCTGGAAGCGGGCTCTCACATGCCTGTAGTACCACTCCAGGGAGCCCCTCTTCACCAGCCTGCAGAGACACAGAGCTCAGGCCCGGGCGGGGCGGCACACACCCCCGTGTCCTGGAAGGGGCAGGCCGGGCCCCCCGCCGGCAGGGCCACTTGATCTCCAGGTCCCGGCTCACCTGGCCAGGTGGCAGGGGTCGCAGAGCCAGCCCTGCTCCTCCGGGTTGTGGCCGCAGCCTTTGCAGGTGAAGAGGCCGCAGTCCAGGCATTGCCTCTTGGGGGTCTCGAGGAGCCGGTAGGGCTGCAGGCAGCGGGCGCAGTGGGTGCTACTCAGGTGGGCCGTGTCCGAAAGCAGCTCCCTCTTGGAGTTTTCCTTCTTAATCTTGCCTTTCAAACCCCTGAATCGGAAACAAGAAAATATCGGATGCCTTGTTTCTGCAACAGGCTTTAAATTCAAGGGCACGCACGTGCGCACGTGCACACACACACACACACACACACACACAGACTCTCAGATGCAGATAACAGTGACCCAAAGTCAGGTAGCACCATGACTTTCTTTCATTGCTAAAGGGCTGCGAACCATACAGGTTCAGAATCACAGGAGGGAGCAGGCCCACAACTGCCCTCACCACCTCACGTAACTCAGTATAGCGGGAAGAGGGTGCACAGAGGTCCTGGACCCCAGGTTGGTTCCCCAGCTCTGACCCTGAACCCGGAGCTCTTCTGATGTAGAGCCCAGAGCTTGGAGACTGTATAGCTGGATGAGTGTGGACCCGTGGCCACTAGCACCCAGTGTCCAAGTTCCGTCGGACCAGACGGGGTTGGTGGCTCTGGGAAACCAGCAGGGATGGGGCCCGGTGAGGTCCTGAGGGTGCAGCTTGGTTGGGCCACACAGTTATCTAGAGCCAATCTGTGGCCCAGTTTAATTGTTTAGCAGGAGATTAGAGGAGAAAAATCCAAGAGGTTCCTGGACCAGTCAGAGCAGCAGCAGGAAGAGCCATAGAGGATGGAGCAGGACGGTGGGCAGACGGTGGGCCAGGCTGACGCTCTCTTCTGTGAGGCCCAGGTCAGCCACACCTGCTCTGCCACCCTGGCCTGAGTTAAGGGCCCTGAGCTGAGGGTGACACCAGGTAAGTGGAGGTCAGGTCGGCACCCTACAGTAAGAGTTGAGAAGCTGAACCCACACAGCCAAGAAAAAAAGCCCAGTGGTGGCAGGAATCTAGGAAGAATACTGTCATCCACTGACTACAGGCTAGGTAAAGCTGCACTGACAAGGTAGAGAAAGTGTCTTCCTTAAACCGCAGAGCACCTGGGGCCAGGTGGAAAGGGCCTAGTGTCCTCCACGTCCACTCTTGGTGTATCTGCTTCAGCCAGAAAGCCTAAAGGCCACCCCTTGGCTGGGCAGGGCCTTGTCCAGCTTGTCTCCCAGCATGGATCCCCCATTCTCCATCCAGGTAGAGCCGGACCCCCAGAAAGAAAGATGAGGACGTGTAGAGGTACACTGCATCCCAGGATGTGAAGTCCTCTTAAATAAGAGCCCGCGAGAGTCCTGGGGTGGCGGCTGGAAACTTTCAGGTGTTGAATTTGGGGGAACAGATAATGATACTCTGCTTCAGATTCCTTTTTTGTGAATATATTCATTTGTAATATATATTATTTAAAATACATTTAATTTAAATTTTTAAAAATTAAAAAAATTTTGTTGGAGTATTGTTTTGTCCATCTTTTTTTTCTTTTTTCGGTACGCGGGCCTCTCACTGTTGTGGCCTCTCCCGTTGCGGAGCACAGGCTCCGGACGCGCAGGCTCAGCGGCTATGGCTCACGGGCCCAGCCGCCCCGCGGCATGTGGGATCTTCCCGGACCGGGGCACGAACCCGCGTCCCCCGCGTTGGCAGGCGGACTCTCAACCACCGCGCCACCAGGGCAGCCCTGGAGTATTGCTGATGTACACTGCTGTGTTAGTTTCTGCTGTACGCACACAGTGAATCAGTTCTACACGCACGTGTATCCACTCTTTCTTAGATTCTTTTCCCATAGAGGTCATTATAGAGTATTGAGCAGAGTTCCCTGTGCTCTACAGTAGGTCCTTACATTAGTATCTATTTTATATGTAGTAGTGTGTATATGTCAATCACAATCTCCCAAGTTATCCCCCCTACCTCTCCCCGCTAACCATAAGTTTGTTTTCTACATCTGTGACTCTGCTTCAGATTCTTTAAAACACAACTTCTCTTCTTCACAGCTGGAAAACAGGAGGGAGGGAAGAGGGGACCCTGCATGGGTCCAGCAGAGTTAACACCAGATGCCTGCCAACCAGAGGGCACATCAATGGACCTGGAGGATCGTGAGGGGCCAGAGCCATCCTGCTTATCGCAATCACAGGGTCGACCAGATGTCCCTGCACTGCAGGCAGGGACAAGCCCAACATGCAGCTACAAGTTAAGGTCACCTTCAGGAATAAAAGATGCCCTGAATGTGATTTACTACACAGTAGTAGTAAACAGAGGAAGACTTGAAACTAGTCTTCCTGTGTGTGTGCTGAGTGGGCATAAAAGAGAGGAGCAGGAGGTAAGAAGAAGCCAGGCTGAGGTGGAAAGACCACAGGCTATGTTCACGGAGGTGGAGAAGACTGGGCTAAAGTGAAGATGGAAAGGAACTGAGGTGGGCAATGGGGAGGGAAACGGGCAGAACATCAAGTCCAGGGATTCGGAGCAGTGGTTCTAAAGGTGTGGTCCAGGGACCTACAGGGGTACCTGAGACCCTTTGACAGGGCCCACAAGGTCAAAACTCTTCTCATAATAACACTAAGGTAGTATTTGTGCTTTTTGCTCTTTGACCCCCGCACCGGTGGTGCAAAAGCTATGGTGGGTGAAAGTTCTGGGGCCTCAGCACAGATCAAGCCAGAGGTACAGAGTGTACCCACGGTCAATCTGCTCTCTGCCGGAAAAGAAAAGAAAGGAAAGCATGTCTTGATGAAGTGCGTCTTTGATTAAAAGTGTGTCAAGTGACAGTATTTGTTGCCATTGACAAAACTCAAGCTTTCAAGCTCAAAGACTTTTGGAAAACTTTTATGTCTCTGCTGACTTGGGCCGGACAGTTTTCATCACTGAGCGGTTTCTGATAAGATCAGCAGTGATTTGATTTTTGGGGTTCTGTATAATGAAATGTGTCAACATTTGGAAAGTCTGCATAGGTGTCACAAAATCATGCATGGACAGAAGATTAACTTCAAGTGCAAGATGGACCAATGGATTTTCATGAAACAGGAAAGGTAAAGTTCACTGACATGGTTTCAGATTCCACATTGTAACTTCCTTTAAGAAATGACCAGTCATAGGGTTTTCATGTATTATCAAAACAATGTCCATAATTATGTGAGAAAGCTACTAAAACACTCCTGCTTTTTCCTACTACATATCTGTGTGAGGCTAGATTTTCTTCCAACACCTCAGACAAAACAACATATTACAACACATTGAACGCAGAAGAAATATCAGAATTCAGCTATCTCCGATTATGCCAGACATTAAAGGGATTTTCAAAAAATACAGAACAATACAATTTTCCTCACTCATGTTTTTATTTTGGAAAAAAGTTATTTTTCATAAAAATTTTATGTTGTAAGGGGTTTACTGTTGTTTTAAATAAATGAATGACTATTTTTAAAATGCCCAGTTTTAATTTTTGATGGGATAAATATTGACATCTATAACCCAGCTAAACAAAAGCTCCTTGGGGTTCTCAGTAATTTAAGAACATAAAGGGTCCCTCAGACCAAAATGTTTGAGAACTGCTGATTTGGAAGCCATACATTTACTCTCCTAGAATGCAAAGAAAAGGGCTGAGGAGACAGAAGTGCGGAGAGAAGATGATGGCCAAGGCAGAGAACAGCAAACACCTGACGGGTAATAAGGCACACCTTGGAGATATTGTGGGTTCAGTTCCAGGCCACCGCAACAAAATGAATATTGCAATAAAGGGAGTCGCAGGAATTTCTTGGTTCCCCAGGGCAAATAAAAGTTATGTTTACACTATACTGAAGTCTATTAAGTGTGCAATAACATTATGTTTGAAAAAAGAATGCACATACCTTAATTAAAATATTTTCTCGTTAAAAATTGCTAACCTTCTTCTGAGTCATATTCTTTTTGCGGGTGGAGGGTCCTGCCTCTGTGCTGGTGGCTGCTGACTGATCAGGGTGGTGGGTGTTGAAGGCTAGGGCAGCGGCAGTGATTTCCTAAAATAAGACAACAATGAAGTTCGCTGCATGGACTCTTCGTTTCGTGAACAATTGCTCTGCAGCATGCAACGCTGTTTGATAGCAATTTACCCACAGTAGAACTTCTTTCAAAATTGGAGTCAATTCTGTCAAATCCTGTTGCTGCGTTATCAACTCAGTTTATGGAATATTCTAAATCCTTTGTTATCATTTCAACCATCTTCACACCATCTTCACCAGGAGTAGATCCATCTCAAGAAACTGCTTTCTTTGCTCATCCATGAGAAGCAACTCCTCATCTGTTCAAGTTGTATCATGAGATCGCAGCAATTCAGTCACATCTGGAGCCCCACTTCTAATTCTAGTTTTCTCACTGTGTCCACCACATCTGCAGTTACTTCTTCCACTGGAGTCTTGAACCCCTCAAAGTCATCCGTTGAGAGTTGGAATCAACTTCTTACAGACTCCTGTGAATGTTGATATTTGGACCTCTTTCCGTGAATCATGGATGTTCTTCATGGCATCTAGAATGACAAATCCTTTCCAAGGTGTTTTCAATTTACTTTCCCCACATTCATCAGAGGAATCACTGTCTCTGGCAGCTACGGCCTCATGAAAGGCATTTCTTAAAGAATAAGACTTAGAAGCCAAAATTACTCCTCAATCCATGGGCTGCAGAATGGATGTGTCTTAGCAGCACAAAAACAATATTAATCTCATTGTCCATCTCCATCAGAGATCTTGGGTGACCAGGTACATTGTCAATGAGCAGTATTATTATTATTTTTTTTTGCGGTACACGGGCCTCTCACTGCTGTGGCCTCTCCCGTTGCGGAGCACAGGCTCCGGACACGCAGGCTCAGTGGCCATGGCACACGGGCCCAGCCGCTCCGCGGCATGTGGGATCTTCCCGGACCGGGGCACGAACCCGTGTCCCCTGCATCGGCAGGCGGACTCTCAACCACTGCGCCACCAGGGAAGCCCAGCAGTATTATTTTGAAAGGAATCTTTTCCTGAGCAGTAGGTCTCATCAGTGAGCTTAAAATATTCAGTAAACCGTATTGTAAACAGATGTGCTGTCATCTAGGCTTTGTTGTTCCATTTACAGAGCACAGGAAGAGTAGATTTATCATAGTTCTTCAGGACCCTAGGGTTTTCAAAATGGTAAATGAGCCC